GTGGAGATTATATTTTCTTCCACTTCTATAAAATAGAAGGAATCAACCAATCTTTGATCTTTTGCTCGATCTTTAGATGGAGGATTAAAAAAAAAAGCGGATTCCCACATCGATGTGACCCCTTTGGAATCTTTAACAATGAACATCTTTAAGGTATTGAAATCTGTCTCTGAATTTCTCCTTAGTTTTGGGAGAATAATAGACACAGCCGAGTCCCGCTGGCTACCTGGGGGGTTTGTGTGCTCATGAAAACCAACTTTATTAATGATACGTAGAGCTTGTTTTTGTAACAAGGGTGTTTATGAGTGTTTTATAGGTTGACCCCCAAACCTTCACACAATATAACACAGTATGATATACACAGAAGTGATAGTGATTTAGTATCGCTATTGACTTGTACAATTAATACAAATAAATATATTGTCTCCATGTTACTTTATGATTGATTCCTACGCGAAGGAATTTATTCTCCTTTAATTTTATCTTTTTTTTTATCTCAGATTTTTAATTCAATATCCCGATCCAATTCTTTTTGATTTCCAAAGAGCATGAATGTTATTTTCTTTATGTTAAGACATGATGCATTAACATCAAACCAAGACTTGATCATGAGACACGACCCCCCCAAAGAATGTGTGGTTACGTCCTTGATCATGCAACACATGGCTTGAGTATTCGGAACCAAACATGCCAGATCTGCCCAACCTTCTCATATTATTAGAATGTCAAGATGTCACGTGTATTATTTTAAACACAGTCACAAGTTTGTAGATTCCTGACCAGGCAGTCCGACGTGTTTCGGTAAGGACTATTACCATGGCTACCTGGAGACACCTGCATCATGACGCTATGCTGCCTGCAGCGGTTTGGTGTTCCTAAAGATAATAATAAAAATCGCATTTTCACAATCTCTCATTTGTCGCTTATGGGCTTGTCATTACCAAGTGCCTTCATCATTATAAGTATTTGATTGTAAAAAGAGGTGTCATATTCACTTTACAAAGATACATTCTCACATGCTCAACTACTTTAGTGTGGCTGGTTCTTGCTGTTGATGCTGCATTGGCTTCTCTGGTGTAAGTGATACGATTTTGGCCACGCAGCTTCATATGTTCACAGACCTGTTGAAGCGGATAGTTGAGGAGCGGCACTTTAACAAAAGCTCCTCGGCTTTTGTTTCTCAGTAATGGAAGCCTACAAACACGTATGATTACAATCCTAAAACATAAGGCATCAAAAGTTGAGACTATATTTTCTCACACTCTATAAATAGAAGAAACAACAAGATTTTAAGAACTTTTATTTTTCCCTGTGGCGCAATTTGTTATTGAAGTACACAAGAGCCAAACAAAAACATCCATCAGACCTTTGAAAATTAAACCCTTAGTTGGCTCAGCGACCTGAAAAGATGATTAAACATTCAAATAAAAAAAATAAATGTAATAAAAATGAATAAGCCACATAATTTAATCCTAAATCAATTATTTTACAGGAAGGTGCTCTACCTGCAAAATCATCTCAAAATGTAAAAACCTAAATGGTTAATGCACAGATCTACTGTGTAGGAGGTCTTTTTAGCTCTCTTATAGTTAGCAGGTTTGGGATATCTCCTTTTAGTTGTATATTCATGCAGCCTTCTGGAAACTACAGAATCTTTCCTATTCGTTCTATCTAATCTCATCAGTTCAGGAGTTTTACAAAGGTCTTAAATACAACTAGACAGACTTCAACTTAGAGGTTTTCGTTTTTCTTTGGTTTTTATTTAAAATGACCTTCCTTGTTTGTATGT